TAGTTCAGAAATTCTCTCCTAAGCTGAGAATTTAGACTGAAAAATATTCTATAATAAACAGCTGATATGATGGACTAATTTTTGCCAGCTCTACTCTGGCTGTAATTGAATTTTACTGTGCATCAACCTCTGATGCACAGGTTCTCCCACTGAGACAGCCTTTTTAAACATGAAGTGTCAACTTCAAGAAACAAAGTGCAGGCTCTGGCTCAGAAAAATTCTGATTCTCAGAGGCTGTGAGAGTGTTCTAGGAAAATATATGTTTTCCCGGCTCTGTTCATTGATAAGTGTCTGCTGTTGAGCCCTGGAGGAGATAGGAGAGTGAGCTAGTTGTTTCATCTTTGGTCTGAGCCAATGCAGCAGTTCTTATATCTCCATTCTCCTGAGAATTAAGTGAACCTGCTTAAGACTAAAAGGTTTCTAAATGTATTTGTAAATAGAGATAGCTTGTACCTTAAGTCCCTGTCTTCAATGAGGATACAAAAATCTGGCCACGAGCAAGTGGAGATTTGAAATCAAATTCCAATGTACGGCATGTAAAGCAATATTTGCAGTGCCAGATCAGTGAGAAAACTCTCTCAGTAGCACTTTTGATCAGTTCTGTAGCCTTTAGGCACATGAGGGGAAATACTCTATAACAATCAAAGCAGATCTCCATCGCTGTGAATTAGTATTATTCTCAGAAATTGCTGGTATGATTCCTGCAGGTGGAGTGTGTGTCCACTATGCAGTAAGCATTTCCAGTGCAGACTGGAGAAATTTGCCCATGGACTGTGCAACAAAGAATCCAGATTTGAATGAAAATAGGGCATTTTGTTATGATGTTTTGGAGAATATATGCCTTAGAAATAAGGATAGAAATGGCAAAAGTAGAGTCAAGCAGGTATTATCAAAACTGTGTTTGTACGGCTGTTTTTTGGAAGAAATATGCCCATCAGAGAGAGATGGTTTGATGCTGAGCTTACTTAATGTTGGCTTCATATTACTGCAGTACTGACTTAGGTAAGAGTAAATCTTAGAATGTATCAATACAGTACAGATCAGAATCAAGTGCTGTGCTGTCATTTGTGGTGGTGCAGTTGTGCAAGAGCTGCACCTGATGAATGTCACTCCTTTCACAGGGCTGGTGAAGATTAGTGGAGAGTTCTCAAAGCGCAAAATTTCAGATATAATACATAAAAAATAATCTTAGAAGGTTTGTGAAAGGCATTTTATTTCCTCCATGTATCAACTACCTCCATATCTAAAGAAGAAAGAGATACTGTCATGGTACTCATTACAAGCAGACAGTCAGTTTTCATGGCATATTATCATTTCAGTATTTTCTTTTCAAATATATCTCCTGTGCTGTGCTTTCTTTTAACTTGCCTGAAGTTTCAAATAGAAGAAATAGTTTCAACATGGATTGCTTTATGGGTTTGGTAACATACCAAACTGGTTTGGGTTTTTTTTGAATTTTTTTGATTTAATATATTGTATATTGCAAAATGCAAAAGCAATCTGTTCCTTATTACCATAATTTGGCATTGTTATCAGTTGGGTGGGTTAATATCGAATCCCATGAAAAGAATACACATTTTTTAATTTATGCTGCAGAACAGTACAGACTACCTTCATGCTGATTGTTCTCTTGATATCCCAGCTCTGCTGAAACTCAGGGAATTCATTTATTCTATTTAAGTCACTTTAAGAGCAAAATGATAAGCCTTTAAATGACTTAGGACTGGCCACTTCTGTGCTGGCATGTGGAGGGGGTCAGGTATGCAACTGGAAATGTAAAGAGATTATGTCATCCCAGTGGAGTTCTGCTTTCCCATATTTATTCACAGCTATAAGGTACAAAGACCCTATGGAGACATTCAGAGAAGTGTGGACCAGAGAGACAGTTATTGCCTATGATGTCAAAGCTGCTTACATCAACTTGCATTACACAGATGAGCCAAGTCTGCATTTTAAAGACCACTACTCGTTGACAGGCTAGACTGTCATTAGTCCCCAGGGGCTGTGCTTGTGTTTCCTTTCCCAGGTGCACCTAGGGTCTCTCTGTTGTCCAAAGGCATAGCAGCCAGAGGCTGCTGACAGCAAAAAACTGGTTTCATTGCTGTGGAGAGTAGCATACATGAGCTGTCCCACAGCCTGTGACACACCAGACCCAGTATGGAATAAAGTTGCATTACACCTAAGCATGGAAACTTGGTGGCATCCCTGGATCCTCTCAGTGTTATCCCTGAGAGCTGAAAGCAAGTGAAAAACCAACCAAGCAACCAATGAACCCACCCATCTGGCCTGGAATTGTGTGGTGGTGGTGGTCTTTTTTCCCTGCTGGTAAATACCTGGCTTTGCTGTTGCTGCTGTTGTTGCGAATGGATGAATGTCAATTAAATATTTGTTGGGAAGGGTTTATCTGGGCCAGGATAAGATATCTGGTCAAATCCAGAAAGGGAGTCCTCTTCTGTCATGCTGGCTTGCCAATAGCTGAGTGATAGACTCATGGGTCTCCCATGCCGCAGCGAGATCCTTAACCTATTGGTTACCCCTGCCCTACCTCTAACACTACACCTTAACCTATTGTCAATTTCTCTCTTTTTACTTCATGAAAAATATAGCAGATCTCAGTTTCAGTCTGATGCAGAATGAAAACACATTCTGAAACTTCGAAATATATGAGGAATTAATTCTCATATTCTAGGGACTTTGGACAGGGCCAGGCCACTACTGCTCACTGTCTACTTGCTGGTAAGAGGCAGTAAAATGCAGAATCCAGGCAGCTCATGATGGTCCTACAAGTTTTCAAGATGTTCATGTTTGATTACAGCACAAAACAGTGGTAATCTTGTTAAACAGCTGTTAATTGCAAATTCCAACCTTTTTGCGATGTTTAAAGCATAATCTCAGTTTAGCTTGAATCCACCTTCTTTTACCATTACATTTTCTGATTTGTTTTAGAGGGAGTACAAAATAAATGCACACAAAGCTTTGCCTGTGCATTGATCATAATACATTCTTTAATTGTACAGTTTACTGATAACACTTTAAGGACATTGTTTAGCTGAGAACAAAGATTTGGAATTCCATTTCTTTTAAAAAGAGGCAAGAAATCAAAATGGTGAAAGAAAAAAACAGAACAACAAGATGAACTCAGACTGATTCATCCTCGGTGATCACTATCTGTTTCCCTTTCTTTTCTTGGGAATTCAGCCAAACACTAACTCTCACACAGATTAACTGATTTAGCAAAACCAGTTAACATTTCACAGCAGCCCTCCTCTGTTGTTTTGCTAGTGAAAAAGCCAGGCAGCTACAAGTGATGGTGGGCTTCTTGTCACAATTTGTTCAAAATATGAAGATGACTTTTAGGTAGTTCTTTCATTCTAAATGGAGAAATAGGCTCAGTAACAAGGAAAGCCTACACCTTCTCACCACAGGGCAGGTCTCTTGGACTCCTTGATTGTCAATGTACTTTAGTTCTTAAGGATTTGATGCACTTTCTCAATGTAGGACTGCAAGGCCCAGTCTGCTAGACCATTCTGAAGAATGTATTCAGAACAGAGGAAGAAACTTGCAGTGCCTTCCTGAACATACAGCTCATTGTTGCACAATCTAATCCTTAAATAAGAATTTCCTCATTAAGCTTTGAGAAAGAAAAAGTTTCTGCTGCCAGCTGTATGAGCATTAGGGCCCATTCTGACTACCCAGCATATTGATAAAATCCAGGAAAGAGCAAAATCTAACATTTTTTGTTCATCTTTAGATGATTTTCTGGTGTCACTTGTCACTGAAAGACTCTTCATAGCCTTCTGTTCTAGCACTAAAAATAGATCATGCATCATTTCATGGGAATAGTATTTAAACAACTCATTAATATCATATTTAAACTTCTCTTTTTATTTACAGGAGTGACAGAAAGCGACATGTGCATAGGCTCTCCCCTGCAGAGGTGGAGTCCATGAGAGATGTCCTGGCACATAATCTATATCAAGTGCGACAAAGGGTGTGTAAGCAATCTGCTATCACACGCTATTACAGACTGAAGGCTCTTGTTTGCTCTTCCCGATATTGTAGCCACGGTGGGTGGCAGAGCTGGGACCAGCCATGGGGTCACGCTGGTGGGAAACATGAGCCCAGAGCCCACAGCTGCTCCGACCTGGGAGCTACATGGAAGGCAGGGAAGGAGCCCTGGCTTGGGACCCTCTCCTGGGTGGATAAAAGGAAAGCGGGTTTTTTTCCGTCAGCTTTCACCCTGATGGCAGTGAGAAAAGCCAGGAGAATCTGGGACTGAGCTGTAGAGGTCAGGCTTCCCTCACTGCACAGCGACTTGTGACTCAGAAATCCCCTTTCCGAGGCTGCCAAACATCCCCGGGCAAGTCTGAGGTCCCATGTCCTCTCCATGGGGTCATGCACAGACTGGGAGGTGGAGGCTGGCTGGCTGGCCGACTCGGTGGCCTGTGTCCTTCTGTGGTGGCATGGGGGCCAGCGGGCTGGACCAACGCTGGGCAGGTGGCTACCCGGTACCCCGGGATGGATGCAGGGCTTTGTGGGAGGCAGCAGGCTGGCGGGTCGCCAGCAGCAGTGAAACTGCCCTGTGGAGGCGGGTGGACCAGCGGCGGTAAACATTGCGTAGCCCAAAGTCAGCTGAGAGTCAGGCTGATAAATCCTTGGTCTGTGTGGCAGCAACAGCTTGCTCTTGCCACAGGAGGAGAAAGGGAAAAAATAATTCCACCTCCTCTTGAGCTTCACTTTACACATTTGGGATTTTTTTCCCTGTAAAATGGGGGTGGTAATACCTCAGCAGGAAGAATGCATTTTGCAGAAATTTGTACTGATTCTGATGCAGCCCCGTGCATAATATCTACTTAATCCAATCTTGGGCTCAGAATATCCAACTGAGTGTTCTCCTACAGCAATGAGTGGTAGAGGATGTATTACAGTAACCTTGAAATTACGCGGATAAACGGGGCTAACTTGTGTAACATACATTTACTAGAAAATGCTAGGCCCTGCTCATTTAAGTGTGTCATTATTAATATGATATTCATTCCTAATATTGTTTGATTTGCCATGGCCAATTATCCTTATGATATTAATTTCTTATCTTGCCAGCAACAATTTGCATATATGGCTGCCTGTTAGATTACTGAAATGAACTCTCTCTTCAAAATCGATTACAGTAATGACTACTTCGCCAGTTACTTCCTATGCAGTATTGAGAACTGTGTGCTTTTGGAAATGAAAGATCAGAAGTAAAATAATACCGCTTCTAATACTTCACTTTCAACTCTGAAGGCCTGGTAATGCTCTGGCTCACCAGAACAACTTTACAAGGACGCTTGCAAATGAGACTGAGATCAGACTCTGCTTTTTAAGAGGCTTTATAAACTTAAATGAATTTTTCCGTTTAAGGAAGGTTTCCCTCATTTCACAAGTTGTATGCAATAAATTAAAAAGCTTGTTCTAAAAGATGCTCAGTTTTAGGATAATAATAAGGTGTAGTTTGTCCAAGTATGGAAAGGAAACTCAGCTGTGCATCTCATTCTGCAGATGTACTCTACTTAATATAGTTTTTAGCTCCTGGGCACATCTGCAATTTGCTCCTGGCTCAGTAATATTATTATCAAGGCTCAGAGGTGGGTTAACCAGCTATTTCTCTCTTGGGATCTGCCCCAGATCTGTAACTCTCAACTGTGTGATCAGAAGAAGGCTGACAAAGGGAGGACAAGCCCAGGGATGTTAATAGCCTTGTATAGGTGGATACAATTCTATGGTACACTTTGAGCAGGTACAAGTCTAACAAAAATGGCATCAAAATGTAGTCCTTGAGGCCCGAGACTTACAGCTTTGTTCATGCTTCCTCCCATCTTACTTCGCAGCAGTGAATCTGCATTTTGCCATGTGACACCAAAGAGAGCTGCGGTGAGTCGGTGGCCGAGCCAGGTCAGGTGTCCCCTTGGCCTTATGATCAACTACGCTGCGCAAGGTTATTAACGTTGCAGGTGCAAAGAGAATCAGCTGGGTGCATTTTCTGTTTCAGGCACCGACATACAACCGACACAACCTGCCTACCAACACAACTGAGAAACAAGCCCAAGAAATCCTCATCCGTCGGCAGCACAGCCTGAGGCAGAGTTGCAGGAAGGGAAACAGCTTACCTTGGGGTAGACCGGTACCTGTTATATAAAATACTATTTGTGTAAAAAAATGCCAGTGCTTCTCTGTAAATAAGGAAAGAGACACTCATTTTGATATGCTTTTTGCATTAATTAAAATGGATACTTTCCCCAGTGTCCTCATGCAGCACCTAAGAAAAGCAAGCTTCACTTAGCATGTGGACAGCTATGTTTTTATGTCCTACCTATGTACACTGGTCAGAAATCAGCTACTATGGCTGTAAGTAGTAAAATGATGTAACTTGCATTGTTTTGGCATGTGCAAAACATAGTATAATCACAAAAGGCCTAATGCAAAGCCCTTGATGCCTTTCACTGACAGTTTGGGCTCTTGATCAGTAAGAGTAAGATTTGTCTGACCAGATGTAGGCATGGGATAGCATAGACATTTACAGCTGAGATAATTACAGTTAAGGAAGAGAAATAAGTTCTTGCTGAGTATATTTATTTTATTTAAAATTGTCATTTGAAACAGGAAAGGTGAATCTTAGAAGAATGTATTTCTCTCCATTGACTAAAAAAAACCCCTAGGGCTAATAGATCAGACACAGACATGAGCTAACATTGAGTTCAACCATCCAAGCGAAGCATTGATCTTAATCACGCCTCTCTAAACTTGGCTGTAAAAGTGTAAAGGCACAACAGAAAAAGCATATAATCATCTGTCTTTACCATCCCACCAAATAAGTGCAAATCGTGGAGGCAATCACAGGCACTGAACACATTTCTATCTCATACACAGGCTAGCACCGTGGAAGTACGCTACTTCTCTTTGCCTCAGGGCCCCAGCCAGCCCACTAGACGAAAGACCAGGCGTGTTACTTTTACAGGTAATGGAAGTGCTTTACTCTGTATCCTACTCCAGCAGTGAAACAAACTTGTCCAGTTGCTCAGTGGATTTAACAGTATTAAATGAATACTCCCATGGAAGTCCCTGGCCTCTTTAAATGAGCTACACCCTTCTCTCCTATCTTTTTAATCTACATTGTTTATATGGTCATTACTGCAGTAGCTGCTATCTCGTTCCAGCACCACCTATTTTTCTCTTTTTCCCTCTTGCACAAATATTCCTGCGATCCCTGCAATTTGGCCTGGCCATGAAGGCATCCATGTAAGCCCAAGAAAGCGAATGACCTGTTCCCTGCACCCCACAGACACAACTGGACTCAAAATGGTTCTGAGTTGCTGAGCCCATTGCCCAGTTAAGGTGAGGCTGCCACAGCTCTATGACTCCAGGTCCCACTAGTAGTGAGGCTGAGCAGGGCACCCCCTGCCCAGTAATTCAGTGCACATGTACACATGATGCGACACACAGAGCAGCAAAGACAGGGCACAGCACTCAGGCAAATGCAAAGAGCACCACATCCTGGTCCCCTCTCTGGATAATCAGGACAATAACCTGTTAGTGGAAAATTATATATACATACATGCAACCTGAATCCCCCAGTAGCTGACCTTAGATACACACTGTGCCCAGTAGCTGGCTCTGGACCATTCATCTGCCCATTTGGTAGCACTTCGGCATATAAGCCCCTGGGGACACAGCCCCCTGGCAGCTGTTGGTACTCAGGCCTACACATATGCACACACACACACATGCACAAATGCTCTTCCACCCCACCCCATGTGCTGTAGATCCCTCCAGTAGCTGGCCTTGGACAGCCAGTCTTCCTTGTAGCAGGCTCCTGGATCCCCTGGTCTCCCCTTGCCTCACGTGCAGAGACACACATGTGCAAACATGTCTCTTTGGTATCAGTCCCAGATTATGGCCTTACCAGTAATCAGCTACAGATCCCATGGTCTCTTTGGTCGCTGGTCTGGATCTCTTGCCTCCTCCAGTAGTCAACTCAGAGATCTTCTGCTCTCCCCAGTCTCTGTCCCAGACTCACCGTTGCTCCAACAGTTGGTTCTCAAGCCTCTTGTCCTACTCGCTGGCTACTCTGGCATGGTGATCGCTAGTGATTTTGTGCTTGCACATGCACTCACACAATACGCACGCACCCCAGTCCCTCCTGCTGCTGGCACTCAGGCCTCCACACACACAAGCACACAGTATAGGGAGCTGCTGACCAAGGAACACAGTTAGAAGTGGAGTTAAATGAGAAAACAGGACAGACTGTGATGATCAGGTGCAGGGCATTACCAGACACCAGTACTGACTGGCCCTGTTTATCTCGTTTTTCCTCTACTTTCCTTTCCAAACTGCCTGATCCCTTCCTTTCCCTGTCTTTGTTTCCTGCCCTAAACATCACATCATAAGTCCTGTATGGTCCCAAAATCCTCTCCCCTGGCATCCCAATAATGGGCCCCAGACACCTCCACACCTCAGTCTATGAGGTGCCCTGGGGAGAGCCTCTCAGTTAGCTCATTGTGGTGGGTCTCACCCTGGTCATGCCTATGATGGATCAGGGCAGGGGCTCAGGCTTTTTCCTCTGACTGGGATACTGAGGGCTCCTCCACTTGCCCTTGTGCCTCGGGGCTTTTCTGTGTTTGAAGAGATGAGCCTTTAATCACATAACCTAACAAAAAATCCTGGCAGAATCTCTTCCCAAGCAGCTGGTCTTTTTTCCCCTATTCCCAGCTTGCTCTCTATGAACATTGCTGCAGTAATACTGGTATTACTGGATAAAGAACAGCCAGTCTGAGGTTATCATATATACACAGTAAAACGCAGACCCATCCTCACTTACACTCTAAGTAAGGAGACAGAAGTTAGGGATGGAGCAACACTGAATTGCCCAAGGAAACATTGCAGAACATTGTCATAGAAAACATGGAATTTAGGACACTTGAATGTTCATCATTGTCTCCATCTGTAATATCCCTGACTCCTTTCTGAGCTTATTTATGTGAACCTGAAAGGCATTTGTGTCCCTCAGAAAAATTCAGTTTCATTTCTGGCAAAATTAGCTATAGCGATTGAAACCACATTTTTAATTTTCATTTTTGTATCAAAAACTTGTACAACAAAATTTATTTCCTGCAGGTGAAAAAATAATTTTTTTTCTTCCCTTTCTGTTTGACTGTGAAAGAGAATGAAAGCAAAAGAATTCTGTGTAGGCAAACCATCCCCTTAGGGCTGGGCACTCACACATGATGTCAGCAGAACAGAAACCCATAGGATCTATTCAGAAGGGAAAATAAGAGTTACTCAAGGGAATATTTTTTTTCTGTTCTGTTTGTGAGGACATCATGGTGGGGGGATATGTATCTTTCTAAAAGATTCAAATTTTTCCATGCAGCAGCCTCAGAACTAAAACATTTCAGATATTTTCAAGGGACCAAGTCCTGTTGTAGCAGACAGGCATATTATTTCAGTAGGGAGAGATGTAACTCCTGAAGCAGTAAATGCAAGTACTCTAACCTAATAGCTGGGCCTGAATTTGAGCCCTGCCTTGTGATCTATCCAAATAATTAGACTTCTTGATCCAGCTTCTGGACCCATCTTAGGTCCATTGTGTAGCATTTACACCACTTTAAATGT